TTGAGAAATGGTCAGATGAAACAGAAATATCTAAAATGATGAAGTTTATTTGGAGCATTTAGGAGGAGGATTATAAATACTGTATAGGGAAACCTCCAGATTCTTTCAAAGCTTTGAACCTGCTTCCACGTTCCCACCTGGAAACATGACAGCAGACACAAAACTGATCTACTCACTAAGTGTAAATCAAAGCAGGCTCAAACATTTCAGCAAGTTTGTCTTCATGAGTATGCAAAACCTTGTTGCAATGTTTGAAAAAATGGTTTCAAATTCACATGAAAAACACTAGTGTGGCATTGATGTATTAATTAATGATAAAGAGAGTCTATCCGCATAGATTAGTCTTAGTAGGAAAAAAGACGTCTGACCAGGATAAACTAATGCAGCTGAACTGAAGTCTATCCTGAACATAAACATATTCTAAGGTAATGATAAAAAATTTACAATAATATTTGGATAAAGCAATGTTTAAGGAATGCCATTGACCTAAACCATGTTGAAAATGAATGACTATCATTATAATGCAGGTCAGTGTCAGGAAACTGTCATATTTAAATACCAACTACACTCACCGGCCACTTTATTAGGTACCCCATGCTAGTAACGGGTTGGACCCCCTTTTGCCTTCAGAACTGCCTCAATTCTTGGTGGCATAGATTCAACAAGGTGCTGGAAGCATTCCTCAGGGAGTTTGGTCCATATTGACATGATGGCATCACACAGTTGCCGCAGATTTGTCGGCTGCACATCCATGATGCGAATCTCCCGTTCCACCACATCCCAAAGATGCTCTATTGGATTGAGATCTGGTGACTGTGGAGGCCATTTGAGTACAGTGAACTCAGTGTCATGTTCAAGAAACTAGTCTGAGATGATTCCAGCTTTATGACATGGCGCATTATCCTGCTGAAAGTAGCCATCAGAAGTTGGGTACATTGTGGTCATAAAGGGATGGACATGGTCAGCAACAATACTCAGGTAGGCTGTGGCGTTGCAACTATGCTCAATTGGTACCAAGGGGCCCAAAGAGTGCCAAGAAAATATTCCCCACACCGTGACACCACCACCACCAGCCTGAACCGTTGATACAAGGCAGGATGGATCCATGCTTTCATGTTGTAGACGCCAAATTCTGACCCTACCATCCGAATGTCGCAGCAGAAATCGAGACTCATCAGACCAGGCAACGTTTTTCCAATCTTCTATTGTCCAATTTCGATGAGCTTGTGCAAATTGTAGCCTCAGTTTCCTGTTCTTAGCTGAAAGGAGTGGCACCCGGTGTGGTCTTCTGCTGCTGTAGCCCATCTGCCTCAAAGTTCGACGTACTGTGCGTTCAGAGATGCTTTTCTGCCCACCTTGGTTGTAACGGGTGGTTATTTGAGTCACTGTTGCCCTTCTATCAGCTCGAACCAGTCTGGCCATTCTCCTCTGACCTCTGGCATCAACAAGGCATTTCCGCCCACAGAACTGCCGCTCACTGGATGTTTTTTCTTTTTCGGACCATTCTCTGTAAACCCTAGAGATGGTTGTGCGTGAAAATCCCAGTAGATCAGCAGTTTCTGAAATACTCAGACCAGCCCTTCTGGCACCAACAATCATGCCACGTTCAAAGTCACTCAAATCACCTTTCTTCCCCATACTGATGCTCGGTTTGAACTGCAGGAGATTGTCTTGACCATGTCTACATGCCTAAATGCACCGAGTTGCCGCCATGTGATTGGCTGCTTAGAAATTAAGTGTTAACGAGCAGTTGGACAGGTGTACCTAATAAAGTGGCCGGTGAGTGTATATTATATAAGCTTGTATTTGTATTTTTTTGACCTTGGGCTGTTCTTAATAACTCTACAACAAATCAGCTTAATTCTCTGGTTCTTAGTTTTGAAAGTTATAGAATATGTTGTTTGACCATTACTCCACCCTGGAACAACCATTAAAATCCAACCATTAATATGATATTCATGTTAATGATGGTTGCAGCTTTAACTAGGACTGTAATTATGCAGCATAACAAATCAATCATATTAGAAAACAACAGCTTGATAGATATTTCTTTAATAAAGATATTTTCATCTTAATGCCTGAAGAGATATTCTTACACGACAACAGGTTTCATATGTATTTCATACATATGAAACCTGTATGTAATATCAGCTGTGCTGCTGCCATCAACATCTTTGTTTATAGATGTTCGAGATCTGGGTGTTTTTCATTGTAGTCCTGTTTCTCTGGCTGGATGTGCTCTCTTCATCCTCTGACATGGGAGCTGGCTCAGAGCTCGTCTGCCTGGCTGTGTGTTTCCTGGATGGGGCCGCCTTTTACAGCTGCTTTTTGTATCTCTGCTTCTGTCTCCTGTAACCCCAGTCAGCCTCGGCAGATGGCCGCTCACACTGAGCCTGGTTCTGCTGGAGGTTTCTTCCTGTTAAAAGGGAGTTTTTCCTCCCCACAGTCGTTACAAGTATGCTAAGTGTGAGGAGATTGCCTTTGAGTCAATGAGTCGATACAATCAACTGGTTTTCCTTAGAAGAAAACTTTGAATCAGTTTGACTGTATGATCTGGTGAACTGTAAAGTGCCTTGAAATGCATGTGTTGTGAATTAGAGCTATAGAAATAAACTGAATTTAATTGAATTGAAAGACAAATAAGGTACGAGTCGGTACATTTGGTTTGGACTAATAGAGCTCAGTTTAATTTTTCAGGATCCATAAACCTAAAGCTAAGCAATGGTCCAATAAATGTGACATCATAGTTCGCAAAGAGAAGAGGAAGACAAACAAAAAGCCATTTCCCTTGACATCTATATGAGGCCATGATGCATTATGATGCTTCTTTCTCTTTAAAGTCTGCTCTTTCACCCTGATAGATAGAGATAGATAGATAGATAGAGTTTTCATTGACTGGCAAAACTTTGGCATTTTGGGGGATTATAATTACCCACGGTTTACAGTCTGCCGATGAAAGAATAAAAAGGATTATTACACATCCAAATGACAATTCAGGGATTATATAACACAGATCCCATCAGCATTAAAGGTACAGAAAGCAGCAGGGAGTTGCCAGAGATAGCATTGATAATCAATGGGAGGGAGTGACGCACAAACATTGACAGAGCAGTTCTCTTTCCATGCCTGGAGAATTTGGCAGCTGTTGTTAACGTTGAATGCAACACCAAAGCACTCTAGATGCCCTTCAGCCGATTGATTCCTGGTACAGAGGCTGACAGTGGTCTTAAGCATTGGACTACATTTGCTGTGTGATGACAGGGCAGAGCACAGTGATTAGAAATCTTTGTGGTTGAAGCAAAAACACTTTACTTAAGCGGTTGTGTTACATTTCTCCCTGAATTCCTAATTAATTGATATTCTACTATTTATATTGAGTTATGCTTGTATTTTGCAGTCTCTAATGTCAGCAGCATAGTATTAGCTTTTTTTCTTTTTAGACAGATTCACCTGTTCAAATGCTTAACAACACAGACATTATCCTATCCCTTTGAAGGAATGCGTTCAGGGATTGGAATGAATAAAAAAATTTATTTAAGACATTAAATTGAAAATTTTCCCCGCTTGTGTACAAAAAGTGTACAAAACATGTTTACCATAAAAAATAGCTATCAGCAATTACAACATTAATTCCTAAAATGAACATATGCTTTATACACAATCTTTATTGGCTCAATATGCAGGACTTTGAATTAAACAGACTACAGAGGCAGAAGACCACTGACTGCTATTCTGCGCAAATAAAAACAATTGTGAGGCTAAATTACTTATAATCACAAAAAACACGGACTGTAATAGATTTGGAAAATGTTCTACTTTCAAAAGAGCATTTGGTACATCATAGTCCCCTACCCAGGCATTGTATCTAAACCATCTTATCCATAAATAACAACCACTGTATACCAGTCCTCTGATGGCTACTTCTCCCATGACAATTTACCATGTCAACAAGCTCCAACTGGCTCCCTAAACATGACAATATATTTTTTTCCCTTTTCCCTTCTCAGTAAACATCATAAACCAGTATTGCAGCTTTTGTCCGTGGTTGAAAAAGAAAACACATGTATGATGTTATCACATTATTATATAAACCACACATGTGTACCAAAGTTTGGGACATCTTAAAATTTTGTGTCAGCAAGAATTAAAGCGGTTCTCAGGGCAGAAAGGGATGCAACATGATCCTTATAAGGTTTTAGGCTATGAGGTTGCAATTGAAGAGACTCATAAATCTAGCTTAGTCTCGCCTGTAGAGCAACACATCTTCATGAATTTAGTATCAGATTTTTCTCAACTGTCTCACAACAGCAAATTAAAATAGTGAAACTTTTCTAATTTTCTTTCCAAAAAAATGCACATGCACAACACTGTACCCACTCCTGAGAGGAAACGCCTATTAAACACATGCAAGAGCATGCACAAGCCCATTTCTCCTTGTGCACGACCACTTCTGAGGCTTTTTTTTTTGTTCCTTCTCATACACTTGTAGACACTTTTTCTCTTACGGCCCTCTGCCATTCTCAAAGAACCGTGGTGAGAAAGTTGAGCTTGAATGACTGTCTGAAACTGTAGCTCACCACAGATATATACCTGAAAGTGTGCAAGCGCAGAGAAAGAAAGCTAACGGGTCGAGTATGTAGGACGGCCGTACGTAAACATATCACCAGAATGATTGACAATAAGAAGGACCACTTTTTGAGATGATTCCTCCCGAAAAAGAACATCCTCCACTATACCTTTAATATCAAACATCATTTACTGTAAAAGCAAGATTTGAAAGTCAAACTAATTTCACTCACTGGAAGAAGACCTCACAAACCCTAATAACCAGTACCAACTTCCATCCAACACCCTTTTTAACAATTGATAAGGGTTAGTTTTAGGAAACTTTTTTTTAGCAGTAAGAGGCCAGATATCCAGCTCCCGGAATGTACTCTTCTCCCTGTTAGGTTATATTTTTTTCACCTTGTCACTGTATCTTTTTCTCGATCCAACCACAGGTCCATCAGCAGCCATTCAACTGAGGGAACCTATAGGTGGGGCAAACAGAGGAGAGGAGCTGATGGTCGCCCATTTTGGCAGCTCCATCCCACCAAACCAGGAATCCTCATGGACTTCCATGTCCACCGCTCGAAAACAAACTATTGATCCAAAGCAAGAGCTGGGCGAGCCTATTGCGAGACCTGAGTTAAATAAGCCACGAATGGAGCGTCCAGATGGCCCAGAAGTAATCAGGGTTGGAACTGGTATCAGCAATGTGGCTAATGCTGGAAATGGGGATCCAGGCTCCGGCTACTACAGACCCAATCGCAGAGGTTCCCCAAGGCCAACCATGCATGATCACTTTGACATCAACGAACACCTCCCCTGGATGATAGTCCTGCTGATACTGCTGGTGCTGGTCGTGATTGTTATGTGTAGCGTCAAAAGGAGCTCTCGGGTGCTAAAGAAGGGCCCCATGCAGGACCCAAGTAGCATCATGGAGAAGGCAATTCAGAAGAAACCGTCTGTGCCTCCAACACAGGCCAGAGAGAAGTGGATCTACTACTACTCGAATGGCCAGGGTAAGGTTACACCATATTCTCTGATTTTGCCACATGAGAACTTTTATGGTCCACATTGCCTGTCACATATTCGGCACAAGATTTAACCCCCTAAAATGGATTTATCTTAGTGCTATGTTGAACAAATATTCACTAGTGTTGCACCAATACCAGTATCGGGCGGGGCCCCGATCCAGCACTAAAATGGCGGTATCGGTATCGGCGAGTACCAACAAATACTGATACCATTTTGAGAGCCAAAAGTTTCAACTATTGTCACCCATTCCAGGTAGGCAATAAAAAGTTTTACTGGATTCACTTTGTATTAGTCTTTTTCCTGCTTCACAAAGGTAGGCAGCAGCTTGACAAAGCCATGATGGCAATTATTTTACATCCACATAGTATGCAGTTCTTCATTTATACACACACACACACACATCAATTTCAAACAGATGGTATCGGTATCGGCCAATACAGCACAGTCAGATATCAGGGCCAAAAAATTCCATTGGTGCAACACTAGTATTCACCATCCATCCATCCATCCATCCATCCATCCATCCATCCATCCATCCATCCATCCATCCATCCATCCATCCATCCATCCATCCATCCATCCATCCATCCATCCATCCATCCATCCATCCATCCATCCATCCATCCATCCATCCATCCATCCATCCATCCATCCATCCATCCATCCCTGATGGGGTCGTAAATAGGGGTGAGAATTGGCATGTTTGTTGCGATACGATGCGTACCACGATACTTGGGTCACAATATGATATTATCACAATATTGCAATATCACTTTATTTGCGATATTTTTCCCAACTATCAAATTAATTGTATAGATAAAAAAGCAAGTTCCGTACATGTTCATCAGAAGATACATTAAGAGATATATTTTGGTATCCATGATGTTTGAGTCATCTTCCACTGTTACTGCCTTAACTACAGAAATGGCGCTGCGCCGCACAGCAAAAAGTGCTCCAGAGCGCTATGTGCCAGAGTGAAGGTGCAGAGGTAGCCAATTTTCCCCAATTGTTTTAGGTAAAATGTTTTTTTTTTTTTAATCGATACTAGAAACTGAAAGATAGTTATGATATTGCACAGCTGCAAATAACGTCATATCACCAAACCGATTTTTTCCCAGTCGCGAGGGGTGCTGGTGCCTATCTCCAGCTTTCATATTGATCATTCTATTTTTGGAATCTCGCAACTGATGCCTTAAACTGCGTCATATTGTCAGCTTTCATGAATTAATATTGAATTATAACACACTCGCCGTCAGCATCATAGAATGGTTCTGTGGGATCTACTGATGTTCAACCATCTGTTGATGTGTATGAACTGCTGTTAGCTTCTAATCCAATCTATCGTTCCCCTAAGCACATGGTGTACAGGGTGGTGGTTACACAAATGAGGACCTGACCCCGTTGTACTGTTACCCTTCTGTTGTTGTCTTGTATCAGTGGCTATGCTCCAGTTCACTTTCAGATCTCAGTTCTCCTATTTCACCCTGGAATGCTCCTACTTTTCTGTTTTTATCTCTTTCGTCTCTATCTTCTCCTTTAAAATGTCTTCCCTGTTCTATTTTGACTTATTTCCTTTATAGTTTTTTCCTCATTTAATCTCATAAGCCCTTGTTTTTCTTCTGTTTTTCTACTGCACACTTTTCTGGCATCCATTCTTTTTCTATGTATGCACTTTATGTCATGTCTTAACTGGGTTACATTCTGTCAACAGGTGTGGAACATGTTTTCTCCACCTCCAAGCTCTCAATTTCCACCTGAAACAAAGAGATGACACAGCACTCAATGGGCACCTCTCGTTTGAGTCTCTTGGGTTTCCATGCAGAAACTTACCAAGTGTATTGGTGAGATGAAGCAGAGCCACCCGCCTCTCTCTCTGTGCTCCTTCAGGGACAGCCCAGAGAGAACTGGAATAATCAGGTTTGAGCTGAACCAGGATTGTTGTTCGTTGGCGGGGCACATTATTGGGTCAATCGCTTCTCTAACGGGACAACAAAGAGATACATGGAGTGAGGGAAATGAAGAGAATGTGCAAAACCATTCAGCAGTGTTTGTATCTGTGTGCTATTGTCGTGGGCCAATTATACTTTCCTTGCTGTTGCTTTGAAACTATTGAAAGCTGCCTGATAAGATGTTTAAAGTTTGAAACAAACTTATTTGCCAGAGATGAAGAAGGCCGTAAAGTGACCACATGAAATGTTTTCAATCGAAGCTGAGTGTTAAAGGATCATAGCACAAGTTCCAGAATATTTGCAGAAGTTTTACCTCTCTGGAAAATGACCTCAGTCATTTTTTTTAGAGCACTAATGTCATCCTAGGTAAAAAAAAAAGTTCAAAATGTTGAATTTATGCTGTGTTCACTATGAATGTGTTTTAGCCTTAAAAAGGCATTCAGTACCTTGTGTTGCTGTTTGAAGCTGTCCAGGAAATCGGTGATCAGAACCCTCTTATTTTCTTTGTACATGAAAAACTACTTTTTATCTAAACTGAGTCTTAACCTTATTTATGTATACATAAATATGCAGTATAATATATATCGCCCATTTCCTTCTGGTTCCAATAGCCCGTTTTACATCAGAGCGTTCTGGTTCCCCAACGCCTGATGCAGACATTGTTTCGCCGCGCGACGCCTGAGCCGTCATGTCATTAATTTTATTGTCACTTATCATTATATGAGGTAGGCATTAGCATAAAAGGCCTAGCCTAAGGATCCACACTGGCAGTTTGTCACTGTTCCCCAACGGGTATTTGAACCCATACTGTTGGTGTGCAAGTCAGGTGACTTGTCATGTTATCTCACATGACAAGGTCACCCGACTTGGCACGCAGACGGTCCGGGTAATCCACCTTTACTAGGGGAGTTAAATCACCCAAAGGTCAAGGCATCAGTGGTGCCCATGGTTGTTTGGGCAATCGGGCCAGTGACCCCCAAACATGAGGAGCGTTTAGGCAGTGGATGAGGTAGAGGTTTTGATATATATATATATATTAGGGGTGGAACGGTTCACAAAATCTACGGTTCGGTTCGATTCACGGTTTCATGGTCACGGTTTTCGGTTCGGTTCGGTTCGATATATGTTGATTGTTACACCGAAATCCCATAAAAATCTATGAAATTAATGAAAAAATCCCCCAAAAAATAATGGATTGTAATTATTTTAAATGATCCACGGAAACCCTGGATCATTTCCGTATGTTTTGCTGCTTTGAATTTAGTCATCTCGCGCATGCTCTCTACCATCTCCAAGGGACTCAGAGGGGAGCCACAGTGGGGGCTGTAGGCTTTGCTTTGAGCAGCCGGTCTGGAGCGCAGCGGGACAGAGCGGGGGTTGCTGGCGGAGTATGAGGGATTTCGGGGTTAGCAGGACATGTTGCTGTTAGCATAAACAAAACGTAATGCACAATGCTTGCACACTGTTGCACTTTTATCCACAACTTTCTTTCCGCCGTCATCGTAGGTCACTCTAAATGCAAAGCGCTCCCATACAGCAGACCTATAAAGTGCTGCTGGCACGTCTTCCAACTCCTGTTCTTTCCCACTCGCCATACCCACACAATTCTCCACAACAACTGATTTTTTTCCCTGCTACACCCGGCTACGCTGCTTCGCTTCTTCTTCTTCTTTACTACTGGCGGTTGGCTTTGGTCGCAGTACCGCCACCTTCTGCTCTGGAGTGTAAACGCTTCGCCTATGAGAAAAAGGAGCAGCGCATGAACCGAACGAAACACACGCGAATTGAACCGAGACAGTCGAACCGAACGGTTCGGACGGTTTTCATAAATCGTCCCATCCCTAATATATATGTATGTATATATATATACTTACTTACTATGCTGGAAACGGTGATACAGAAAAATGGAAAATGGAAATGGTGATAAAGCTGATACAGCTTCTCTGATTGATTGACTACATCAAGCTGCAAAAGTACTATTTTTTTTACTTTATCATCTGACAAGCTTGAAGGGTTTGTCAGATGATAAAGATGATAAATATCTTAGCTTAATTTAAAACTGACTATTTACTTCCATCCTATTCCATCTATTAGACTCCAAATATAGCCATTTTGTATCACACTGGAAACAGGTTTTATTTTTTTACTCTTGTGTGGAGTTTCTCGGGTTGGGATGTTTTTTGTCGCTAATGCATTGATGGCAGAGGAGACTTAACTGAGCTTTAGGGGGAGTGTTGGCCTAGTGGTTAGAGCAGTACGTTTGTGTTTTGAGAAGGTTGCAAGTATCTGGTTCGATCCCCACAGCCTGCACCCTGGGTCTCTGAGCAGGATCCATCACCCCTGATTGTGCCTCAGGCACCCCACAGTGGCAGCCCACTACTCCACAAAGGGATGGGTTAAGATACAGAAGGGAATTTCTCTAGTGTGAGATCAATAAATCCAACTATTTACCAGAGTAGCCCAGTGGACAAGAGCCACACAGAGAGTCATACTCATTAACTGACTGATAGAGCCTAAAGAAGGAACTTTGGTAAATAGAGGAAAACTTAGTTTACATGTCAGGCAATTGTAAAGGCATGTATGGAAAAGAAATAAAATGTTTAATTTTAAACCTTCCACAGTGCACATTCAAAAAGTGATGAAGGATTTCTTTTTTTTATTTCCACCTTTTTGTTTTGCATTCATGTGTGTTCTCCTGCTGCCATGAGTAATGAGATGCCCATATGTAGGCACTTATGTGGAGCTATATGTATGCATGTGCAACTCAAACAGCTAGTTTACACTGCGTTTTACTCTCTGGAACATAAAACGAAACTGCTTCTTAATCCTTCCAAGGTGCGTGGCTGGCTCCTCTTGAAAGTTGTAATCCACCTTTACTAGAGCAGTTAAAGCAGCCGGGCAATAAAGGGGAAAAGAAAGGGAAACGTTAAAGCATGGATCACACACATGCGCCACTTGGCATTTGGTCAGGAAATGGTAAAAAGTGCTACTCTTCCACCGCAACGCTGAACAAGGCTTTCCGGGTCCACAGGCCA